CGGTGAAACATCTGCGAATATACCAAGTTCATGCTCCGAGGCTGGGAACTGTGACAACTAATATATCTGAGGACTTTGAACAAGATGCGTCCAACTAACTCCCCCTCACGACACGATCAAGCTGCGAAAGCGAAATCAGACCACTTCTATGCATCGAATGGAGTCTGTGATCAAAAAATAAGTCTTCATATCTACGCTTCTGGTACCGCAAAATAAAGTCATTTGTAAATTCCATAGTTCTAGAATATGGAGTGTCACAGAATAGATGAATCCTCTAGAATTCTACACAGATGAACTAAACAAATAATTAAAAATTGAGCCAAAAAATACATAATTTGGAAATAAGCGCAAGATGATAAACAAATGCCTCACTCATCTTCATCGTAAACCGTACCTTTCGATTTTGTTTTCTTCTTATCTTCCTCCTCTGAATGATCACTAAACATCAAGTCGCCAGACACATTATCATCTCTATCGTGAGACGCAGTGGACTGTTGATTTTGCTGTTTCGGTGTTCGGCATACAAATCTATCTAAGAAGCGCGCAAGAGAGAAATCCTCAAAAGGATCGCCAGTATACCCCCCCAAGGGGGACAATGAAGTGGAGGATCCTTTCAATAAGTTCCTAGCTAGCAAGCTGACTGTGGGATGATAGTGATTCGCCAGTAAGAAAAGACACCACGCAAGGGAACCGAGCGCTTTGGAGAAGCGCGGCTCACGGCCACTGGGCTGATAGGCATCCCAAGCTGGAGGTGGATCCAGGGCTGGAGTCTTGTAAGACCTTGACTTTGCTGATGTCTGATCTGAAGGAAGTGTGCTCTTCCCACGCAAATGAAGTCCCTGAGTGAGACGAAGATCACGATGGAACCATGAAGATGTGTGCAGAGAAGGCTTCACTTCGCCCTGACACGCAAGTCAGATATAGTGGGGGAAGAGTGAGATAAAAAGTGAGGACCACAAATACTAGATAATGCAAATTAATGTGAAGTAAAAAACATTTAAAAATTGACAGACGATTATGCCTTACTAGGTTAATTTCTTCATCCTCAGAATGGACGTCTATAAAACGTTCTTCCTCGTCATCGTCATGACCATAAGCATCAGCCTTTAATGCATTTGATTCCTCTATCTTCACCCGGGCAAAAGGAAGTTTGTTTGAATGATATATAGGTTCCATTTTTAACTCATTCGTGCACTAAAAATAAATGAATTAAAAAAAAGAATAATAACAAGCAATATAGATATATAGAAGAAGAAAATAAACTATCGTGAAAGTAGACATAGAAGATGAAATGTCTTCGAGAATATACATTAGATTACATTTTGAACCAAAAGAAAAATAGAATATTCATGCGTAATTTTCATAGAGCTAGCAGACATGCCTAAATATGATGATGACACATTCAAAGTCAGGATATAAGGCAATTAACAGTGACAATTCGGTTATCACCTAAAAATTATATCAAAAACACGTTGCTGCCTTTGGATTGCAAATAATACCACTTGCAGAAAAGTATGCACTATTCAACCATTTTCAAGGATAATCAGAAATTTGAAATTAAATTTAATATTTCATTTAGATATTATTTAGTAAGACAAAGTAGAAATTAACTCAATTCAGGTTAGTAAAGCTAAACTAGAGCAAGGCATAAATACCCCGGGTTTACAATTGAATATAATGTTCGAAAAACAAATGAATTTAGAAGAGTAAGGCTGCTAAATTGAGTGCAATTTTAATTCTTAGGAACAAATTATTCAAAATGAAGAATAAATACTGAAGAAAGAAAATGATAGCCCTACCTTCGATTCTGGACAGAAGAATAAAGTCAAGCATTTTGGATGTTGTTTCCATATCTGTAGGGCAAAAATATTCATGAAATCAGGAGAACGAAATATATGAGCATGACTAAAGTTAGATTTACATTTAAAAGTGTTGAACTTAGTTCCATCTGATTGTTTCTAGTTGATAGAAAGCCATACAAGTTATAAATAAAAAATTTTAATTTTAATCGCCAATTTTAATGAATGAATAAACTTTATCGACGAAGTGATGCAGATTTTTGTTTCTTCGTAATAAGCGTTGATAAGATTGTTAAATAAAATGAGTAATTTACAGTAGGATATTGACGATTATTATACAAGGCCAAACAGAGGAGCCCTAATTTCATGGGTGACAAGCACATGAAGGATTAAGCAGGCTCATCTCCTTCAGCAAAATGGAAAACAACATTACATTTTGTCGTCCAAATTAAAGTTTTGGACAAATACAAAGTTAAAATACTCCTTTGACCAAGCGAGCTTGCACAAGATTATTAGTTAGTATAGGTTGACCAGAAATACTGTAGTCTCCAATTCGATTCGCGAAAATTTAGAACTTAGTTTTTGACAGGATACATCAGATATCAAGTAGTGCTAAAAAGAATATAATGAATAATTTAGAGAATGAAAAGAGGATTCATCTCTGCACTCAAATTCAGTGCCATGAAGCTAGAAAACGTTTTCTTATGTGGTTTTGACCTCGCCTAAGCTTTCTCATCACCCACGTCGGAATTATAATAAAGAGGATGTGGATTAAGGAACCAACAGATCTCTATGTTTGTAGAATAACAATCAGTAATTGTAAAACAAATTTATCATCAATCTAACTAGAAATTCAGTCAATGGGTAAAAAGAATGAAAAGTCTGCATAAGAATCAAAGAACACAAATTATTCTTCAGAAGCATGTATACAAAGAGATCAAGAATAGCGAGACGTATTTCACAGAAAGATGAGCCTAATAAATTGTAAATACAAGTTAACCCAAAATAGGAAAGTCAGTCAGTATCCTTGCCGGAAGAAGTCAAATTAAGTGTGGATAAGAAGGCAGGATTAACGAAAAACAGATTTAGCGAGATAAGCAAAAGGGGACGACTGGATCAAGGATCAATTTTGGATAAGACGAAAATAGATCACAAAGCAGAAGCTATCGAGAGAAGCAAACATCAGAAGACTTTTACCGTCTGTGTAGATAAAGCAGGAAAACAGCCACACCATTTGGGGTTTTGGTGTACAAGCAAATATGGAATACAGGATCGGAAATCATAAAAAATTGGCATAATGGATAGGAAAACGAGATCAGTTAGACCAGCCGAGAGATGCAGCGGAGACCAAAGAGATAAGTACTCAATTGGATCATTTCACACAAGTTAAATTATGGAAGTTGCCAGTAAGTGCCTAACCATGATATTTACCGACCCAGTACATATGTTGAATTGAGATGAAGAAAAACGAGGTTAATTTTGTCTATAGCAGTAGGAAATGCATATAAGCAACGGAATCTAGGCTCCGATGAGACCACCATAAATTCGGACCATCAAGTGCTTGAGATAGAAGATAGGAAATAGGTTTTTGAGTTATATTGGTGAAATCAGTGAACCAAGGAGATAGAAAACGAGTCGTCGAAGCCATAAGAAGAAATCTGATTGAAGCAGGATCAAGTAACTTGAGGACTGGAAGGATCAAGGGATTCAATAAAAGAAAGAATACATGCGCGAGGTACGATTACACCCCACTAAATCCGCTCAAAAGAGTATAATGAGTTGAGGAAGTTAGCAATGAAATTAAATGTGCTATATGCGGGGATAGGGAACGAAATAGAAAAAAAGGAGAAATATTAAAACAATTAAGCATAAAGTTGGTCAAAGTAGAGATTTCATCCGTCGCTTTGATGAGTTATAGCGTTTTATCAAAAATGGAAAAGTTCAAGAAAATCAGCATGACTACTATGCATGAAAACACTGAACATGATATAATCTTAGAAATCGCCCTGAAAACAAGTACAAATTGCGAAAGCGAAGCACAATTGAAAAACACATCCTAGAATTTGGATTTCAAGGCTTATTAAATAAAGTGGAGAATATATACTCCTCTAAGAAACCCTAATGTCAATATTGATTTGAATATGCAATAAAGAGATTCTTTGATTTGCTTCACCAGAAGATGAGTATAGATTCGAGGTTGTTAGGGCAACCTGATTGGAATTTTATGAAGACTTTGCAGTACGTACCTAGTGATGTGTCCTCTGTCTGGAATGTACCAAATCAATGGTCAGAAGGTGGAAATCACGAACACTATAGCAGAGGATACAGGACTGGGTGCGTTCCACAAAGTCTCCCTGAAGTTCTGACAGAATTGCGAAGATAAAGGAGACTGCCATCAAACATAAGGCAACATCATCCTAGTCTTAATAATTATCATCATTTGCTTGGGCTCACTGTTTCATAGACTTACTGCGACAGTCTATGGGAGTCGAATAAGTTGGCTTCACCAAACACATGTGCAACCCCCGAGTGAATTTTACCCTTTCTCATTTGGTATTCACTCATATTTACGCAACCAGGTCGACTCAGTCTGGCAACTTCATAAGGTGATTGAGGTTTGATAAATCTCACTTAAATCGCTTTTTATTTAGATTATTCAACTGGTGATGCCTCTTCCTATTGCATGAATAATTTGCTGAAGCTCAAGTTACAACATGTTTGCTTAAACAATAAACGAAATTCAAAGACATGAAGACCAAGATGATGTGGCCCTCGGTAAGTTCACAGTCCCCTTTCGATGCATAGATATGGGTTAACCTAGTTTGCCCAGCTTGGTCGTGTCGTCAAGGCGACTTAGTTGCACGCACCTTATCCTAAGTCATCGGCCATATTAGTAATTATAATTCGCAACGTAAGAATTGTCAGGTACATGGTCAGACGATAGGAATTGTGATAACTACTATGGCAGAGGACTCACCAAGGAAACGAAATTGTCACCTCGCTTATTAGTTTCCTTTGATAAAGGATGTCAATGGCTGCCCAGGTCCTCAACTCACTTTTATTTTAAGCCAATAAGGCCGGTCTTTCCGTCGAATTTCAGTTAAATGTGTCCTGCCCGAAAATGTGTTCGTCTACTTACGAGCTTTGCTAGTTGAAAATTCCACATATTCACCGATGTAGTTAAACCCATGTGCCAGTTGCCTACAAGGAATCTGCTATGTCGGCTTCTTCATGCTTTGCAAGTAGGCTTGTGAAAAGTGTCGTCCTTTAGTAAAAGAATGTTCAAACGCTTCTTTCAGCTTCTGTGTCAGTTCATATAAGACGATAACATAAACCTTTCCACATCTGAATGCAGAACATTTCTTTCATAACCACCGACTTGTAATTTGTTTTGTATACCTTTTAATGGATATTCGTACCCATCCTAGTCTTCTTCCTAGAATATAGAATTTGTTATTCTTACGCGAAATAAAGTCATATACTCCCTCGGTAATAATGGTGAGATTGAAAAGAAAACATCGTCAGAACGTGAAATTACTTTCCAAATAACTCTGTCCATAAGTAAAAATTCGAGCGAATTATCGCAAATTGAATTTCATTCATTTATCAATCTGCTCGTGAAACCTGAATAAAGTCTCCCGATTTTCACCACCAATTAACCGGATTGCAAAGCAGTCGCCTGAATATTAGAAAATAAATCATGGAAGCAAATGTGACATGTTGAATTCTTTCTTAACATAATAGTGGTGAAAGTAACGAGAAGAGGAGTTGATGACATTTAAGATGTGCCAAATATCTGCTCAAAGATACGATAGTTAAATATACAATAGGTCGTCTTTATCTTCAGGTCAAGCGATCTTATCAAAGGCTTCTTCTTTACTGTTCTTGATTCCAAAGAGAATTCATATGGATGTTTCAACATAATTGATAATATATTATCAACCGAGCTTAGATTAAAAGCAGATGAATTTTGCTAGTCCATACGTAGGTCTGTACTTGTTGATGAATATTAGTCTCACCTCTTTACATAACTTAGGTAGTAAACATGCTGTTAGTGGACTTGCATCACTTAGACTTGTAAATATTGTCATAGCAACTTATTTTCTAGAGTGCTTGTCAATTTGTTACACGGAACTTAAGGTATCCTGGGGTAAGCTATGGGAATAAGATCTTACAAAGGAGCCACGTGGCAACAAGTCACCTAGAAAAACACACGATTTCAGCAAAAATGAGGGCAAAAGTAAAAATGGCTCAAAAAGGATAATCGAAGGTATGAAAACCAAGATGGCGTGGCTTTTTGGGTGGTCGCGGTATTCTTTCGTTTGACCTTGTTTTCGCAACTTGGTCATATTGACAGGAAGACCTAGAGGAACGCGTCTTGTCCGGAGTCCATTTCCACAATCGGAGCTTGGACATGGTACATATTCCAGACGGAATTGCCCAGAACGGAAAGAGAGATACCACAAATGTTTAGCACACATTTGGTCAAAGGATCGGCTTTACTTGTCTCTGACGAGTTGCAGTGTGGTGCCAAGAATGACAAGACTCACAGAAGATGCCGACGAAACGTCTGGAAATGTGAAATGTCCGCGGTCCGACTCTGGAAATTATCATGCATACTATCACTGCGGGCTGGCTGCTTTGCTCTAAGTTTTCCTACCAATATGACCAAGTTTCTAAAAGTAAAAAGGATAGTTTTTCGATTTCTCCTTTCAACTATTAGTCGGGCAGTAAGCTTCGCACGCATTTGCTATGAATGTAGCCAGTTTGTAGCATAAACTTCAATAAAAAGGAAAAGTTTTATACCAATACGGCAACTTTAAGTGCAAACCACATCAACAAATGATATTCCCCAAACATGGCAGATATCGGCTGATGGACTTGCAGATGCTTGTATTCCCTTTTGAATAGGCAGCATGACCTCACCTTCGATATGAGAACAAGGATGCCAATAATAAAAGCAGGATCAGGATGCCATGCAGCGATTTGGAGAAGTCTGAGACAGTAGGCAGCTAAACGGTCCTCGTCTTTATCTGCTGACATGCTGCGGAACACCAAGCTAAGCAGCGGGGCTCCTCGTGACGACCAGCGCAGTTGATTGTCCGTTAGCTTCCGATATAGTGACTAATAGGTAGAACATAGGAATATATGTGCTCAAACCGTCAATTGTTAGGTGGTGCAGATAAATTCTGACAAAGTATGAGAATCGCCATAAGGCGTAAAACGATTAAAATCAAAGATATGCACAAATCTCACCAAGTTGTAGGGTAGGATAGTGATAAAAGGTTAGGAAGCAAACATTAAGAGGCAAGCGACTTAGAAAATACGATTTTCGGAACAACTTTAAGCACATTTTAAGCAATACTCATTCACCTGGTAGTATCTATCCGCCAATTCTGGGCGATGCTGTGTCAGGTGAAATAGGACAGTGAGGGCTTGTATGCTGGTACTCAAAGTTGTCGTGTGTACAAGTCGGAAGATCTCGTTCGCATCCTGCAAAAATTCCTCGAAACGGTCGCCTGAGTAAAGTACAGAAAGAGAGAAGAACTTCTCTAAATAACGTATTGGCAGAATTTGTATAAAAATGATAGAGTAAAAACAAAAGCCAATAAAGCACTTTGCTTGTTTAACTAAAAATGCTCATTCAAGGGTATGAAAACCAACATGATGTAGTCATAAGCACGGGTATGGTATCCATTCGTTGGATAGAAGTTGTTGGACTTTGTTTTGTCAACTTGATCCAATTAGCAGGGAGACATAGAGGGACGCGACTTGTCCGGAATATGCATGATTAGTTCCAATTGAATGACAAACTTGGCACATTCTCAAACAATTCGATGGCATTATCAGTCTTGCCAGACTTACAATAATACAACTCGTCGAAGAGAAAAGGAGGGTCGATCCTGTGATCACATGACTGGTGGAGTGCTGGGGTATTGCTGTATCATATATCCTCAAATCAACAAATTTAATACCTCAATTTATTACTCATCTAATCTGAGCAAGATATGCCCTTTAGAGCGGATTTTTTGGAATCAGAAATGCGTTGGTGGCAGTTGTTCTATCATACAAAGACTAACAGACGGTCGCCGAATGCTGAAGCATGCTTGGGCTTTTGCCAACTAGCTCTAGTCTCCGTCGCGTCTATCCTGCGTCTCCTCGACATATACCTTACCACATGGGCACAAAACCGCTTGTAAAGGTATGTGAGTCCAAAAGTCTAAGCTCATAGAACACATTTTTAGCAATATAGGACACTTAAAAGACTGGTCCAAAACACGTTTTGCGGGTTACAGGGACTTCATGTAAAAGCATAATATTAGGGAGTCTATAGAAATTAGCAAAACATCCAACGTCCAGAATAGAAGTAAAAAAATAAGTAGGAATATTCTATATGGCTTGCAGTATCTTCATAATAAGTCTTTAATGAATGAAGTTTCATGGACTGTTTCATTTTGAAATTCGAAGTAAAATTAAATGTCAGCAGGACACGTGGAGCCAGTCGTCGTCTTCTAGTGAGGCCGACATGAATGTGTTTATCACTCTTTACACAAAATAAAACCCCCTACAACAATGTTATGAAGAAGACACCACGTTCATTTTTATGAAGCAAATGCATAGAGATTTGACACAAACGAAGAGAAAAGTGAAGCAGATAAGGCTACTAGTTAGTATTATTAGAGGGATTTTCAGTTGGCATAAAAGTGAATGAAGAAGAAATTCGTTTGTTGATCAGTTCAGATGAGTCTCGTTGTACTGCAGCAGTTTTGCTTTTATACGATATTCATTTTGACGCAGTCGAGAAGACTTTTAAGGATTTCTCTCTTGCGCGCTTCTTAGATAGATTTGTATGCCGAACACCGAAACAGCAAAATCAACAGTCCACTGTGTCTCACGATAGAGATGATAATGTGTCTGGCGACTTGATGTTTAGTGATCATTCAGAGGAGGAAAATAATAAGAAAACACAATGGAAAGGTAGGGTTTACAATGAAGACGAGCGAGGCATTTGTTTATCATCTTGCGCTTATTTCCAAATTATGTATTTTTTGGCCCAATTTTTAATCATTTGTTTAGTCCATCTGCGTAGAATTCTAGAAGATTCACCTATTCTGTGACACTCCATACTCTAGAACTATGGAATTTACAAATGACTTTATTTTGCGGTACAAGAAGCGTAGATATGAAGACTTCTTTT